CCCCATAGAAAGTTAATCGATTTTTTGCCCGCCCCCCCTAAAAAAGTTTTCTGCGGGCGCCCATGAATACGTGGAGTGTGACTAGATTGTTTGATAACAAAAATTAAGATGTAATACGTATATATTTCCTATCACTATAGCACCCAGTGGCGTAGGAAAGGGGTACACTGGACGGCACATTGTTTCCTTGTATTGAGGGGCGGAGTTTTCGTCCAGTTGGCGAGGTTTTTTTTTGTTTGTTTGTGTTGTTGTTTTTCGTGGAAGGGGTGCGACAAAAAGCTTAGTCCATCCCGGGCGCTACTAACCCTAGCTACGCCCTTGATGGCGCCACTCTTGGATTCTGCGCATATCAAAACGCCAGAAAAAATATTTGGCATGATTCCTTTAAAACACTGTTGTGAATCAGGCCTAAAGAATTGTCATTTTATGACAAATCTAACATGTGGACACGTTGACGGTGCGGTCATCACAGGAAATTGTACATTTTAAGCGGAACAAGGGAGATAGCTAGAAAAACACTAAGTAAATTACTTGATCATAAGAGTTATCTATCTTAGATATGGGCATTATGAGCGAAACAAAGTATGGGGAAACCTGAAAAAAGGACGCAAAAAAACAACAAACGTATCGACAGAAAGCCTTCTTCAGCCAACAATTAACAGGAAAAACAATATAAAATAAAATCACAACCGCAACTTAGTTTCCCAGAGGACAACAAGGGGAATGTGATCAATTTGTTTGGCTCATTTCCTTTTAACTAACCTGATTGCAGTCTCTCCCGCACATCACTGGTAAAATATGGATGGGTCAAGGGTCATGAATGCATAATTTTGAAAGACAAAATTATAATAACTATTTTTTTTTAATATTGAATTTGGTTTCAATTATTTAATTTTTTGTTTTCTGTATCAACCAAGCCTTTCTTCCAAAAAAAGCTGAGAAGAAAACAAATTTAATAATGACTTTTATTGCTTGGAAGACTTTGCATTATTTATACACATATACACAGATAAGCACAAAACACAGTCATGTTTAATTCTATTAACATTAGCATCCTAATTTTCAAAGTGGATTTCCCCTCTTCAACTGACTTCAATAGGATAGCAAACAAAAAAGACAAAACAATGTCCCTTTGGTTACCAACAGTAAAACTAGAATTTTTTGTTATTTTACTAAACATTTAACAAACAATTTAAGCATGCCCTAAAGTGAGGGCAGAAAAATTCCTTTTACTTCTCTTAGTCTCACAACAAGTTCAAACAGGTGGAATATTATCCTTAGATATAAGTTTGAACACTGTCACACTAATACCCACACTAGTGTAAATTTTTTTTTAAAAGTAGACACAATCTTTGGCAGAAGAAAAAATCATTGGTCATATAATAAGGCTGTTGGGCATCAAGAGTAATTTCCATCTTTGAGTTGCATCACTTCCCATCATAGAATCTCTTTTGTTTGAAACTTATTTCAGAAATTTGTCATCCAAAAGATTTCACCCAAAAAAAAAGAATTTATTGGAAATTGCAAATTTCTTCCTAAAAACTTTCACAACATTGTAATACACATCACTATAAAATTTTAAACAGACATGTTATGTTTTACAATAATTACTTTTCTAAAACCAAACAGCTGGAATGTTTTGTTATCTTAAGACAACTGACAGGGTAAAGCTGGTGTTTTAGAAGGACATTCGCTAATGCTGCAGAAAATGGACATTGATATACGTGACAATGATAAGCCCAGTTATTTGTATTGAATTATATTTTGATACCGAAACATCCAAGCAAAGTACAAGGCCGCATGCTAACAATGTTAAACTGTCCGAGATACGAAGTCAAGCATAACATATAACTAAACATCATTATAAGCAGCCTTGCGAGTTTTAAAATAAAATTAAACAAATTGAGAAAAGCACAAGAACCAGTCCAGCCCAACACAAGCTCAACAATTTTAAAAGTGTCTCTCTTTTAGCATGCTGTATTGTACTACAATAATTTTTAGCCATATATTATTACAGTTATTACTAACTACAAGAAAACTGTGAACACATCAGTGCATCAGCATCTTCAAACCTCAAAAAACTGTGCTGGATGAATAACATGAAATAATATTATAACATAGTTAGAAATGAGAGAAGTAGGCATAAAACATTTGTTTAATTAATCTCTTAGTCAATTTACCAGCCGGTGGGGAAAAAAAGTTGATTAAAAATTAATATGCACTTAATGTAAGGTTTAGTTTACAATTTAAAATTGGTATTTTAGTCATTCTAAATTCTAAAAATTGTTTAGCATTCAAACCTTCTGCACAGAATAAAAGAGTGTTTCAGTTGCTTGTATTTAGTAATCACTGAGAACTTAGTAGCATTTACTGCCTAAACAAATAAACTACTTTAACATATATAAATATTTTATACCTTTCATGTTTCCAATGTTGAAATATCTCGACTAGAATTTAAGGGGACAATCAAGGACATGTAACATTTTCATCTATAATATAACCATTTCTGTTGTAAACATTTTCTACTGTGAATAAATTTTTAAAAGTTAAGTTTTCATCATGACAACTGTGCAGTGCTTTGCACCTAAAAGGATGACATTGCTGGCAATGAAGAAATACATAAATGTATGGTCTGTATCATCCAAAGAGGTAGAAAATAATATTGCTGAAAGGAGTTCAAAGATCCCTGGCCCACTGCATAAGAACACCCTAAACCAGACACAAGAATCATGTACAGCCTGAAGTTAATTTAACACTATATATATGCAAAAATGGAGAGAAATTTGAGCAAGTGTAAAACATAGTTTTGACTTTCATACCTAATGTTTACCACTGTATGATGTATGACTGTCCAATTCAACAATTCACAATGTTTCTTTACAAGAGCTGCTACTTTTAGCTGCTAATATTTCTTAATTGATTTCAGAATAAATTCTTGGTCAACAGAGTCCAAATTTTGTAAGTTAATGTTAAGAAATCTAACTGCCAATTATTTTCACCATCCATTTCGGAAGATTTTGCTAACAAGTGGAGTCGTTCAGATTTAATACTGTTGGTAGCTATGACTTGATAGATTATTGAATATTCCATTAATATAGGCATAAACATTTAAGAATGGGATTAAAATACATAACCCATCATAAATATAATACAGATGTTTCATGTTTACTTGGTTTGGAAATAAGATCAAAAGCTTTTTCCAAAAGAATGGAATAAAAACTTTGACATTTATTGACCCAGGAAGTTATCTGCTCATCCAAAATTATATGACATACATAGATAAATGACATACATAGATAAATGACAGGTAAAGATAAACCACATGCAAAAGACTTTCTTCACCTGTTTTGTTAAACTAATGCATCTAACACAATGTGCTTGCTCTTCATTTCAACCCCTCATCCCAGCTAAGCTGTAACTCTCTAAATATTATTTGTCTTAAGCTACTTCCCTCTGCATTTTTAAAGTGTCAATTATGTTTTCTCTAAGTTTGTTAATTATCTCTGCCTCACTTGACAAGTCAACAATGTTTTCTCTAAGCGTTACTTATTTCTGTCTCACTTGACAAGTCAAAAATGTTTCTCTAAGTTTGTTTTTTATGTCTGTCTCACTTGACAAGTCAAAAATGTTTCCTCTAAGCTTGTTATTTATCTCTGCCTCACTTGACAAGAATTCTTGTGCTGAAGAGTTTTAAAAAACCACCACAGCCTTCTTTGAACAATAAAAATACAAATAAAACAGCGATGTTGAAACAAGAGCAGATAAGCTGGCCACCAACCTCAGCTAAACTGGCCACCAACCTCAGCCACAACCTCAGCTAAGCTGGCCACCAACCTCAGCTAGGTGACCACCAACCTCAGCTAAGCTGGCCACCAACCTCAGCTAGGCTGGCCACCAACCTCAGCTAAGCTGGCCACCAACCTCAGCTAAACAGGCCACCAACCTCAGCTAAGCTGGCCACCAACCTCAGCTAGGCTGGTCACCAACCTCAGCTAGGCTGGCCACCAACCTCGACCATGAGCTTGTTTGATCATTTCCTTCTCTTGAGGGCTGAACTGTAGAATTGTCATCACTGCCTTCAGCATCTGCTTCTTGCCTGCAGAGTCCATTGATGTTAAAAACTTCACCATAACATTTTTGAGGTACTCGACGTTGGCACCCTCCCTTTGGGCCCGTCTGTCAATCTCTGCTAGCCGTTCACTCAGGGCACTGATCTCGTCCCTCAGTTTCTCCTCCTTATCACTAGCAGACAACTGGATGTCCCGTAAGGCTGTCTCTAATTGTCGTTTCTGTTTCCTCAGCCCGTTGAGCTCCACGTCCATCCTGCTTTTTTCTTGGGCAAAATGTAAGTACGCTGCTTCGCTCTGAATTCCTTTAGAGAGGTCGAGAAGTCTGGTAATGGCCTCTTGTTCTTCTGACGGTCTGCGATGGTCACTGTCGACACCGTGAGGGGTTCCCTCATCAGGCTGAATGCTTGAGCTTAAGCTCCAATGTCTGAGATGATCCGACTCACCGATCTGGCCTGTGATGGCCTTCAGCCTCTGGATCTCAGAATCTTTTTCTGACAACATAGCAACAGTTCTTTCCCGTTGTTTTTTGGACTCTGTCTCCAACTGGCTGATTTCTTTGTGATGAGCCGATTTGATCTGGGAGATTTCTGATTTGAACTTCTCCTCCTGGGCCAGGAGACCCTTGCTCAGGTTGTCAACTTTAGCTTGAAACTCGGAAATCTCCTCCTGGTGGTGAAAGTTGCTCATACGCAGCTTATCTCTCAGTTCCATCACTTGTTCTTTCAAGAGCTCACACTCTTTGGATGGCCCGGTTTCCTAAGAAATAAATGTATTACTTAATTTTAAGAAAAAAAAATATGCATAAAATTAAAAGAATGTGTTAAAATAAATTTTAGGAGTTGTGAAGAGGTGTTAACAGTTATTCGTTCAATGTATTCTTAGAAGACCCCGTCCATCAATATTTGATTTGTAAATTCTATTTAGCACAGAAGGTTTATTCAAGATAATTGTTTCCATTTAGATTTTATAATTAACATTGTAGAAAGAAGACAATATTTTTACCATCCACCCCACCAACTCTTCCAACCCCGAAAAAAAAAGAAAAAAAAAAAAGTTTTACACAAGGTTGAGGACTTTATCCAGAAGGGATAACTGTGAAACAATCAGGTTTTTTTTAAAAAAGAATTACTAAAAAATAAACCTAACCAACAAACATGAAAGGAAAAAAATTTTTGTATCTTTTTCTTTTTTGGCCAAAGGCAAATTAACTAATTGAAATGTGTCAACGAACAGGTATTTCGGCCAAAGGCAGATATAAATAAATGAGATAAGTCAAAAAAACAGGTATCGAGTGCAAACAGCTTTTTGGGAGTGTCTGTTTACCTTGTTTTTGTTTTTGAGCACAGACTGCGCCCTGAGCTTGTACCTCTCAAACTCTTCTTTGACCTGCTCCAGCTCCTCTTTGTACTTCTTGCACAGCTCAGACTCCTCATCTGCCTTGTTCATGTCTTCAACAAATATGCCTGAAATAGCAATGCATCTCTGTGATTTCTCTCACTGTCAGGTCATTGAAAGGGTTGTTTAGAGGCTAACAATAATACCCTTGCCCAACGACGCACTGAGGTGAAGTCAACAAAAAACAACAAAATGTCAACTTTAAAGAGTTCATCATGGGAATATAAAGGGGAAACATCTTATTATTTATATGAAAGAGCAAACTGAAAATGTGAATTTCGTTCAAAGGGGAGTGTCAGTCTGTTTAACCTGACATCTTCACAGTTCACACTATAAAGTGTAATATGTTGTGTTTCACTCAAATAAATGTCTCATCAGATTATCATATATCAATCGGTCCTGTTGTTATTGTTACTGTTTGGTGCTCAAACAATAAGACTTGGGTACATCTGTTGGGTACATCTGCTCTCAAGCTGTGGGACTGATTATAATTCCTTTAGGACATGGCCATTACTGCCAGAGGTTGTGACAGCCTGATATGTAACAAAATATAGACTCAGTTATCTCGTCCTGAGCTTTCAAACTGTTAGAGACTAGACTCTAGAGCTCACAAAGAGGACTCTCATTGGCAAGCCGGCTGAGCAGGCCTTAGAAGATAGTGACTTAAGAGGAATTGACTCTCCTGGTAAATTCCCTGCTTCCACAGTAAAAGCCAGAGAGATTCAGGATAACTTGCTTGCTTTACACCAGAATCCCTGCACTATCCAGTGATTTGAATATATTGAACCAACTCACTGGACAGTTTGACTGATTTCTCATACTTGAACCAACTCACTGGACAGTTTGACTGATTTCTCAGATTTATCTATTGCACTCTTCAGCACTGATCTCAGGTGCATGATCTTCTCCAGTATTTTCTCCACCGATGGGTTGTCCCCGATGCTGTCCTGTTTGTCTGGGGACAGACTAGCTGCTCGGGCCAGGGCTGTGTTCTCCATGTCCAGCTGTGTCACTCTCTCTCTCAGCTTACTGAAAGAAGTGATACAGATTGGGAATAAATTTCAAGTTACTAATAGGTTCTGTGATTTCTTGAGCAAGCTAGTCTTAATCATTCAAGGCTTAGATAAGTGGTGTATTCATTCATTCATAACTCATTGATATTTAATGGAAGATTGTGTATTCACGAGCAAAAAAATACAAAATGGATACAAAGAGACTAAGTAAAATTAGAAAAGTAATATTTTATTTCATAGATTTTTCCCGAGTCTCTAAAATGTATGACAGAAGATTTCCAGACAAAAGTGTTTGACGCCACAGTTACGAGTCAAAGTCTGTAGATAATAATAATAAAATAACTAGAGCAAAGACACTTTCACAGTTAGTGTCTAATGCTACAAGAAGCTGATCTTTACCTGATGGCCTGCTGGTCTTGAAACCTCAGTCTTTCATAGTTCCCAACCACTTGGGACAGCTCTGACAATTTGGCCTCTAAGCTGGACACCCTTTCTTCACTCTGGTGAGACTGAGTTCTCAGACGGTGCTCTGCCTCAAGTGCTTTCTTTTGTTCCTTCTCAACCTGCTTCTGGTGATCAGCCTGCGAACATTAGATATCAACGAGTCGTCCTCAGAACTGACAGGCAAGTCATTTAATTTTGAAATTGAACATCTGAACTTGTTTAGATCTTAATCTCGGTAAAAGATAGTAAATTGTTGAAAACAGTTATAAGGGGACAAAAGTGGGACAGATTATTCTAGTTAAGTTGTAAATCCCACTTTGCTTTTAAGTGGAGTGAATTAAAATGTGTATGAACATTCTCTGTTTTCTTCTCTTTCAAAATATATTTTGAAGTAATTAAAGCAGTTGAATTAATTTAACCTGTATTTTAAGTTAATCTTGAAAATTTCCTCTGAAATTATTATGTCAAGCATATTGGTTTTATAATCTTATATCATTATATCAAGCATATTAGTTTCATAAATCCAAAATGGCTAAGAAAATTACCAAGTGATGGAGTAACAGCCAACAACCGCAGAATGGTTTTACATTTACAAATTGATGTTAATTATTTTATCTGTCTATGTCAGCGGTTCTCAACATGTGAGTCATGGCCCCTTTGGGGGTCGAACTACCCTTTCACAGGGGTCGCCTAAGACCATCGGAAAACACACATACACTACAGTTACGAAGTAGCAACAAAAAGAATTTTATGGTTGAGGGTTGCCACAACATGAGGCGCAACATGATGAACTGTATTAAAGGGTCACGTAAACAAAAATCTTTTTGTTGTTTCCACTGATATACAATTTGATAAAATATATATCATAGTTATTTTATCTGTCTTTTGCAAAAACTAATTCAAAATATAACTTCCTAACTTACAAATCTACTCTCACAGTAAAAGTTTTAGTGAAAAAGATATAGTGACATATTTTTAAGACTTTTTAGCCTCAACTAAATTAAATTGCTGTTTTTTTAATGTTAAAATTACAGTCACATAATGAATAAAAAATTGTCTTTACTTTCATGCTAGCCATATCCTTCTGAAGCTCTATTACAAAAGGGGAGGGCTGGCTGGCCTTGACCTCAGCAGACTTGAGCCTATCCCGTACTGTCTTCAGCTCATTTTGAAGCTGCTGGATTTGCCGTTCGTAAACTTCGGACACCACTGGCGCATTCTGAGATCTCTGCTTAGTTTCTTTCATGATGAACTGGACTTCATCAAGCTTTTCATATTTTAGAAAATAAATAGAATTCATTTCAGTTTCATCCATGTGTAGAAGTTCACCGGATTAAACAACATCAACCCATTAACTTGAAGTAATTGACTGAATCATATCCGTTTATATGAGGAAAATTTACTATGCTTGACATCAGTGTTTCTCAAACCTTTTTAGCTCATTCTCCCATTTTTTAAATTTCATCTTTGGGGTCTCTTTCCTTGTTATTATAATAAAATGCCCTTTTGTTCGTAATTTTTTTTTTAATTTCAAGCTGCCTAATTTTGTTTTAAAAAAATGGAAAATCACATTTGTTTCTCAATTTTCTAAAACACACTCATATTTCCGACCATGGTATAAATAACTAGCTAGAATGTTGAATGACCAACCTGAGCTTCTAGCGCTTCTTTATTGCTCCTCTCTTTGGCCAGAACTGTCTGGAGCTCTTTGAGCATCAGGGCGTGGTCCGTTTGTTCTCTCTCCCTTTCAAGCTGCTGGGTGCGAATGCGGCTTTTCAACTAAATTAACATTTTTTTAATGTTAGTTTGATTTGACCATACTCCAGTGATATACAATTCAGGAGCAAATGCATATACCCTAAAAGTTGGTTAATCAACATTAACTTTAGAGATTAAAAATAATAATTAGGTGGTGTGGTTAAAGGCTTATATTATGACATCATCCAATTTATATGATGCAGTTTGAAGAAACTGACTTGGGCTAGTGGAGCAGAAACTTGAGTTTTTATGAAGAGTGGTAAATCATGTCCTTTTTTTTAAATTGCTGTCTTAGATACCAATAGTTTTCATTATACGTCATATAAACCACTTTCCGAGTTTTGACCAAAATTGATCAAGTTACGAAACAGAGAAAATCTCAATTTGCCAAAACTCACATCTGATAACTGAAGCTCAAAGCCTTCTGCCTGTTTCGATGTTCTCTTTCTCTCATCTGCCAGCTGAGACTGCAGTTCTTCATTTTCATGCTAAAAAACAAAAATATTTATAGTTAAACAAAAACTCATATATGAGACGAATAAATCCATGTCCATGTTCTAAAATAAATGTTTGATTCGATATGGGATCTTTAGTTCTCCACCAAAATACAAATTCTACTTGCAATATTTAAATGGAAACATTAATCATAAAATATTACCCTTAAGTGTTTCCTTTCTGCTATAAAATTAGCTTCAATCTTGTTCTTCTCTTGTGTCAAGGTTGTCAGAGAGGAACTCAGTGTCTTAATTTGGTCTCTTAAAGCTACACATTCATCTTTTCCTTCCTTTAAGAAGTTATGTTGATTTAAAATAAATTCATTTTTATCCAAAATTGAGAACTAATGATTTTCCTGTCGTTACTGTAATAAATAAACTATATTAATAATGTATTGTGTGCTTTTTCAAATAATTTAAAAGCTATGCTATCAAGAATATATTAATGCTACGTTAATTTTTATTTTGTTTTTTTAAGGACACTACTAGAGAGGAATAAATTCTTATTTTTATGAAGGAAAACATTACTTTTAACTAATAAGTTTGATAAAAAAAATTATAATGAATCTCTCTTCTTTTCAAAGTAAATGCTTAACACAGCTTAGGGTGCAGAAGCGTTTCTAACAGCAAAACTGCATCATTAATTAATTTGTGTGTGTGTGTATATATTATAATTTTATTGCTTTACTTATTAAATTAACTTTAATGTACTCATTCAATCTCTGAAATAATCCAACAAATACATTTTTTTGGAATCTAATTCTCTTCAACAGAAATTAAAATGTTGGCTAACATGTTTTGTTGCACCGAGTGGATCAACAATACTGATATCTGCCCCATTCTCATCACAGCTAGGCTTGGCAGAACTTTCATCAGTCAAATTAAGATTGGAGGCACTGCTTGAAGAACTTAATGCGGTAAAACTTGCTTCTAGTGCTTCTTTCTCCTTCACAATGCTCTTGTATGCAGAAACCACATCTAGAAGAGGAGGCAAGAAGTTTTTGACGAATAATATACCTGAAGGCCTTATATGATTTTTTTTTTTTTAAATATTTTTAAAGAACTTGAAACTTTGTTACAGGGAAATGTTTATTGAAATAAAAGCTATAAATTATAATCTACTTTCTAGCTACCAACTAACATAGCAACAGAAACTTACTTTGGATTTGTTTTAAAGCAATTTATTTATTTTTAATTACAAAAATATTGTAAAATTGTTATAATGGCTAAATTTTCTGTTCACAACAAATGAAGTTTTGAAAATAAAAGAGACCCCTTAGTTTAGATTTATACTGCTGTAGTTGATCTTTCTGAGAGTTGATTGTTTCAATGAGCTCTGCTCTTGAAAGTTTGTCCATGACGATTCAAATAAGTTGAATGGTCCAGTCTGCAGTCAACAATTGATAATCTTCACCTGTGTGGGTGGGAAAACCATTAATGAAAAGCTTTCACCAGAAATATATATATTTTTTTTTAATGTTTTCATTGATCTTTAACATATAAAACATAGGGAGTTTCCTTGTGAAATTTTTAGATTTGAAATCTGAAGTAGTAACCTCAAATATCCTACCTTCCTGTTTTAGATTGATTAGAACTTGATTATACTTTTTTTTTAAGTAAGTAAGATGGCTTTTTAAATCCCCTACTATTGGGACTATTGACTAATGTGACTGTTAAATGAATGTCGAAATTTTTATTATTGGGAAATTACTTAGCTTTGCCACTGATAATGTGTTGATTGAGGCATTTGAGGTAAAGGTCACATTTTTTTTCTTGTGTCCCATGTTCATCATCAAAGCATTTGGTTATTTCCAAACTGTTATCCCACACTATTATGATATGGCACATGGTTCTCTGCCTTTTACTTTTATATTAACCCACAGGCTGAGTTTGATTCACAAAAATGTTCTTTGCCTGATAATGATACAAATAATATTTAAAATGTGTAAGAATATACCTAATCAAACACGTTTATGATGACCACTATTTTGTTTACACTTGGATGATGCTGGCCTGATGACACTGATTTAAGTGATACATTCTTCAAGAGTCAATGGCTCACGCCTAGACACGTCACTGATATTGAAAGAGTTGACACAACTTTGCGGAGGACAGTTAATTCTTAATCTATGTGCAGGGGGCGGCAAAGTTCAAATGTTTAGGAATAAGAGTGGCACTCGCTTCTATTTCTATACCCAGTTATTGAAATAATGATGTACCCTTACTCCCAATAACCCAAGCTGAAGCAGATTATAACTGTGATTAATTATGAAATAATAATAAATAACTTCCAATTCTATACTAAAGCAAATTACATATAATGAATGACGAATGGTGGCTGAATAATTAAACTCAGCCAATGAGGCATACGTTGGTAAGCCGATTTATTCAGTCAAAGTCAATTCAAAGAGTCAGAGAGTGTTTTTTTTAAAGCAAAGAGTAATTGGCTAATGTTGGTTCGGCACACCACTATGACTTGCATTGTAGGATTATCTCCCTTTTGTTTATTCTTGGATAGTTTCTAGGGTTAACTTTTTCTTTTGTAAATATTAATATGCCAATAGGATGTTTTAAATTACAATTGCATAGGGTGGTTCATTATAATATTTAAATTTTCTGGCATTTTGCAAAATGGGTATTGCATTGATTTCTGACAATTTTTTTATTTTATTTCTGATGCAGCCTGCAATAAAGCATGTAAAAGTGCATTCTATGAAATTGTAAGTTGGGTTTTCATTATTTTAAAAATATTTTGTATTGTTTTTCTTCAGTATTAAAATTTTCTTACCACAGTGATTCACTGTAGCACACATATTTTAGTTGATAGAAGGGAGTGACCACTGGTCATTTACTAATTTACACCTCTGGCCACATATCTAGAATAGAGGGATACAATAAAGTTGCTATATTTGCCACTAACTTAATGTTCCGGCTGAAATCACAGCAGAAAAGGGGGCATTTGCAGGTCATTGACACTTCTTACTGCAAAGTTACTATGTTCGCCGTGAAATTAATGTACTGGCATAAATTATTTTATTAAATTTTAACGTTTTTTTCCCATTGGTTGCCCTGACCCAAGATGGAAATGAGATGCACATCAAACCAACATTTACACTTATTTACAGAGTAATTTGTACCAACCAAACTAGGTACAGTGAATGACCATCTATAAATATTTTATAAAAAAGACTCATACTCATAATTATAAATTATACTATAAAAAAACGAAGTGATTATTCACAGAGCTGTGCGGATAACGCTCGCCGTTATTCACAGATTTCGGTCTGCCGATAACGCTAAACGTTATTCACAGAATGTGATAAATTAATTAATGAATATAAAGTACAAAGTTCGATCACACACATCTCTTCGGTAGAGTAGTGGTCAGTATCTCCGACCGTCACCCAGCAGACAAAGGTTCGATTCCCCGTCGGGGATGCCTCATTTTTATAAATAAAATTTAAAAACAAAATATTTAATGGTTATTTCGTAGTGTTATATTATAATAATATTCTTCCTATAGCTTTCTTTTTCTGTTCACATAGTTTTATTGTTATTTTCATATAGTTTTGTTACTTATGTTACAAGTTTCAATCTATTTT